ATTCAAGCAGTTTGAGAAGCAGGAGGAGGTAACTGAAGGCTACCGCGAGAATGAAGAATCGCTGAAGTGCGTTGAGGATGATATACTAAGAACTGAGAAAGAAGGCCAGAGATACCGTGTGCTGAAGACCCACGCAGAAGAGCAACTCAAGTAGGCAAACAAGGAGATCACCTAGACCCCAGCAAGGCCCAAGTGGAAGCCGCGGCCTTCCCGGTGAGCCTGAGAAGGGAGCAGACGCACATCCACTTGCTGGAGAAGACAGTTGAGTAAGAAACTAAAGAAAACAATAAACTGACCAGAATCTGTGACCTCATGTCCAGGACAAGGATCTGACGTGGACGCCCTGTCCAGTGACCATCCTCCTGCTTATCTGCCTGACTCTGTTAGAAGGTTTCATGTTCTTTCATCTCCCTCCTAACCTCAAGTTATTTTAAAACTGGATTGCTTTAAAAAGACTAGCCCTGGTGGGTGTGGCTCAGTTGGTGAGCATCCTCCCATGTAGAAAGAGGTCAATGGTTTGATTTCCAGTCGGGGCACATGCCCAGTTTTGATCCCCATTGGGCTTGATCCCCAGTGAGGAACATGCAAGAGGCAGTTGATCGATGTTTCTCTCTCTCATCAATGTTTCTCTCTCCCTTCCTCTCTCTCTAAAAATCAATAAAAACATATTTTAAAATAAAACACTAAATAAAGTTTCCCTTAAGTTAAAAAAAAAGAAAAAAAGACCATAATGGTGATTGGGACATTAAATGTTGGCTCTGGATGTCCAAGGCCTTCATGACACTGTTGTTTAACATGCTATTCTGCTCCTTATTCTGTACTAGAGGCCCAGTGCACAAAATTCATGCACTGGGGGGGGGGGGTGTCCCTCAGCCCAGCCTGCACCCTCTCCAATCTGGGACCCCTCAGGGGATGACCAACTGCCAGTTTAGGCCCGATCCTTGTGGAATCGCGCCTAAACTGGAAGTCGGACATCCCTCTCACAATCCGGGACTGCTGGCTCCCAACAGCTCGCCTGCCTGCCTGATTGTCCCTAACCGCTTCTGCCTGCCAGCCTGATCACTCCCTAACCACTTCCCTGCCAGCCTGCTCGACACGTAACTGCTCCCCTGCTGGCCTGATTGCCCCCAACTGCCCTCCCCTGCCAGCCCGGTTACCCCTAACTGCCCTCCCCTGCCGGCCTGATCACCCCCAATTGCCCTCCCCTGCAGGCCTGGTTGCCCCCAACTGCCCTTCCCTGCTGGCCTGGTTGCCCCCAACTGCCCTCCCCTGCAGGCCTGGCCCCCCCCCCCCCAACTGCCCTCTCCTGCTGGCCTGATCACCTACAACTGCCCTCCCCTGCCAGCCATCTTGTGGAAGCCATCTTGTGCCCACACGGGGCGGGGGGGGGGGGCATCTTGTGTGAGGGCATGATGGTCAATTTGCATATTACCTCTTTATTATATAGGATCCCTTAAGGCCACATAAATCTGATGCCTGGTAAACCTATTTTGTCTTATGAATTTCAGTGACAATCACAACCTGAAAGCCACTCCAACGGTCTTGGAAGTATTATGAGATTTACAGTTAAAAATATCTAGACTGGGTTTGACATTTCCATTTATTAATTGGGTAACTTTAGGCAAGTTAATTTCCCTGAGCCTCAGGTTCCTCTTCTATAAAATAAGAATAAAAATACACACCTCATAGTTCTCATCATAAAACAAAATAATTTTTTAACTATGTATGGTAACAAATGTTAAACTAGACTACTGTGATCACTTTGCAATATATACAGATAGAGAATCATTATGTTATATACCAAAAACTAATAAGTCAATTACACCTCAATAAAAAACTTTTGTTTTTATAATTTTTAAAGTATATTTATATACTGTAAGATGCATATATATTAAGGGCACAGTGTGATGTATACCTACCCCCAAATCAAGATACAGAATATTTTCATCACCCCCAGAAAGTTTAATGCATATCCCTTTCCAGGCAGCCCCACTCTCCTGTTCCAATGTCTATCACCACAGATTAGCTTAAGCTATCTTGAACATCAGATTAAGTCATATTGTATGTAACCTTTTTTATCTTTTTTCTTTGCTCAACATAATGTCTGCCAGACTCATCCATGTTTTATCAGTAGTTTGTTTCTTGTTTTGATGAGTAGTGGTACATTATTCATTCAGTTATTACTGTTAATTTGTCAAAAATTTTTCCATTCAATATAGCTTTTGCATATATCTTCTGCATATCTCTTTGGCAATGCTTTATATGAAAAAGATATGTTAAGTGGACTATTTTATCTCTAGTGCTACCTTTTAGGTGGGAGTGGTTCTCTCTACCTTCAGAAGAAACTGATAACCAGGCAACCCAGTATGGCAGTCATGAGTACAGTCTTCAAAATAGACAGATCTAGGTTCTCATTTCCGTTCTAGCACATAACAGGTGGGTGGTTTGGGACAGGTGATTTAACCTCTCTGTGACTGTTCTCCCATTTGTAAAATAAGGATAATAATACCTTCCTAATAGGGATTTGTGAGGACTAAATTATACTGTACATAAAATGTTTGACACAATGGAGGCTAATAATAGCCTCAAGCTTGATTATAATAAACATTTTCTTGCTTCACACACTCTCAGAATTTGTAAGTCACACAGTATAAATGGGTATATATTTTCAGAAGTTTTTAAAATGAAGTTTGTAATTATATCTGGAAAAACCTAATCGTCGCATATTTACTTAAAATAAATTTTATTTCCTATGTAAAAAAGTAAAGTCTTCCATCAGTTATTCAGTGACAATTATATACTAAGTGCCAACTCTGAGGGGCTCTCTAAAAACTTAAAGACACAGCCCTAGTTTTTAGAATGTTTTGTTTTGGAGGGTAAAAAGATCAGCACAAAAATAATTAAAATACAAAGTATGGTCAATAATAATAATAATAATTAACACCTGTTAATGTAGTGATTAAAAGCATGATCTCTGGAGTTATACTATACAGTTCAAATGCCAATCATATGATGTTGGGCAAGTTACTTAACATTTTTGTATGTTACTTTAATTATAAAATGGGAATAACACCACTTAACCTCAAAGGGCTTTTATGCGTAGATGAGTTAATACATGTAAATACTTAGTACAGTAGCAGCATATTAAAAAATGTAATAAATAACAGTTAACATTATCAAACATTCAATATTTGCCAAGCACTGTGTTAAATGCTTTACCTGCATAATTTCACATAATCTCTACAATGTTGTTTCTAATATTATACCCATTTTACTGAAAAGGTAACTGAGAAGCAGGGAGTTTAGGTAACAAGATTATATAGCTAGTAAAAAAACAAATGCCATAAGAAAGACATATTGATAAAATAGGGATGATGATAATAGTACTTACCTTAATGAGATTTAAATTAATATTTGAAAAGTGTTTACAACAGGGCCTAGCACATAATAAGGTCTATATGAGTGGATGTTAAATAAATACAAATTGCTATGGTGATTCAGAGATGGCAATAAACAACTTCCATGATGGAGACTACGGAGGCTTTGGAATGGTGACACTTAAGCTAAATCCTGGAGGGAGGGAGGGAGGGAGGGAGGGAGGGAGGGAGGGAGGGAGGGAGGGAGGTGGAAGAAGAAAGAAGAAAGAAGAAGGAGGAGAAGGAGGAGGAGGAGGGAAAAAAGAGAGGCAGGAAGTAGAAGAAAGCTCAGAGTAGAGTATGCAAAAAGAAAATACGGGTGTAGTTAAATTTGATTAGGTTAAAAAAGCTCCCTTTTCCAGTGGTTCTCAACCTTCTGGCCCTTTAAATACAGTTCCTCATGTTGTGACCCAACCATAAAACTATTTTCGTTGCTACTTCATAACTGTAACGTTGCTACTGTTATGAATCGTAATGTAAATATCTGATATGCAGGATGGTCTTAGGCAACCCCTGTGAAAGGGTCGTTCGACCACGAAAGGGGTCGCGACCCACAGGTTGAGAACCACTGCAACAGTCACTATTTCTGCCAGCTGTACCTCAAAATATCTCATCATTTCTTTCACCCCTGTAGAATCTGCTATCCTTACCCCTTCATCATCTATTTTACAATATTTATGGAGTGCCTCGGCGTAGCAGACACTGTTCTAGGAGCTAAGGATACACCAATGAATAGGACAGGCCAAAACCCAGTTCCTGCTCTGCACTTAATAATACTCCAAATTGGATTCCCAGCTTTCGGTCGGCCCTACTCCAATCCATCCCCCACAGGCCGCGAGGGAGGCGGGAAACACAGACTGGTCCAGGCGCCCCCTGGCCTCAGTCCCCCTGCAGCATTTCCCCAGCGTGTTCAGAGTGAGTGCAATCGCCCAAGCATCCTGTTCAGGGCGCTTCACTGACTGGCCAGCACAGCCTTACCCTACAGCTCTCACCCCGCGTTCTGCACTGGGGCCGGATCCGGTACATCCCTCAGAGTCCCCAGTACACACCCTTATAAATGAGCACCTGCTGAGAGGCATGGCTAGGACTCCACCCCTAGGTCCTCCTTGGACGTTCAAACCGCCCCCCCTCCGCTGTCCTGGATGTGAAAACCGCCCCTCTGGCTCTGCAGCCTAAAAAGCCGCTCCGACGGGACACGTCCCCATCAACCCAGCACCCAGAGAAGCAGGCGTGTACCCCTCCACCAGAGGGGCCGGAAGGGGCGGGGCTTCGCGCGTCCCGGGCCCGCATCTTGCCTCAGTTGGCCGGAAGTAGCCCCGCGAGCCGCGCGCGGGCGCCGACTGAGGCTGCGCAGTGGCGCCCCGCCAGTCTTGGCCGCTGGCAGCGTGGCGGTCACCGTCCCGCGTCCGAAAGCGCTGCCCAGCGGCCACAAAGCCCCTTCTGTTGTCTTCCTAGTCCTCCTCCCGCCGCCCCAGCCTCTGCCCAGCCCCTCCACTGGGGTTTGCACCTGGCTGCCCGAAAATACGCTGCAGAAACCCGAGGAGGGGGTCTCCCCGTCCTTCAGGCTGAGACGCTGAGCCCTGACCGCCTCGCAGGAGGAGACCCCGGGCCCCCACCTGCAGGAGGGCCCCCACCTGCAGGAGAGCCCCCAGGAGAACCTTGGCGCCCCGAGTGGGAGGGGCCCCGGAGCCCGGCCTCACCGGGAAAGGCGCGAGGGTCTTAGCAGCCCAAGCTTTGGCCCCGGGACCCGAGGTGGCGGAGTTGGTGCAGTTCTTGCCGGTGAAGGACAAAAGGAAGAGGCTCACCCCTCGCTCTGAGATGGGGAAATACGTCATCCGAGACTTAGAGGATCTTTTCCCTGAGATCACCGCTCGGCCGCAGGACATCTGCGGTATTTGAGTTTGAGCTGAAAACAGCTGGGCCTCAAGCACCACACAGATCTTGATCAACAAACTAAAGCCTCCTGAGGAGGAGGAGGACCTGGGAGGAGGTGGCCCCAGATTGGGTCCCTTAATGATGGTCTTGGGCTTTATCCACGTGAATCAAGGTAATAGCGCCAGGGAGGCACAGGTCTGGGAGATGCTGCGTCGGTGGCGGGTGTGGCCCTCCAGGGATGCCGATAACATCTCTGCCTCTTGGGGCACCCGAGGGGGATTATGGAAGAGTTCATGCAGCAGCAATACCTCAGTTACAGGCAGGCGCCTCGCACCAATCCACTACTAGGTTGTTCATTCTCTTGGGTCCCCTAAGAAACCTGGAAACCAGCAAATTGGAAATCTTGGGTTTTGTGGCCAAGCTCCATGAAAAGGAACCCCAGCACTGGCAAGTGCAGAACCATGAGGTCCTGGCAGGTCAGGTCAACAGGGTCAGAGCGAGGCCAGTAGGAGGGTTAGGGTTAGGGCCAGAGCCAGTGCTAGGGCTGGCACCCACCCCTGTGAGGGCTGAAGAAAAGTGGTCAGCGAGGGGGAGCGGTCCTTATGGAAGCGAATGATTGAGTCTGAAGTGTTATAGGTGAGGGCAGGGTTATTACTTCTCAAGGAGATGTACTTGTGTAACTCAAATTTAAGTTTTGTATCTTGCCATGTTTTGTTACATTTAATATACTCAAATTGGTGTTTGTGAGATTGGGGTACTTTTTCTTGTAGGATTTTGTGAATAGAGTTTTGATGGTTTTGTAAAATCGTTTGAAAAACTTTGTATTTTATCCCATTGTGCCGTGCCAGCATGGCCAGGTTCAGTGAGCCTGAGGAGGGGTGGTGAAGGATTAACCCTTTGTGGTCCAATGTTATTTTTGGAATTCAAACAGTCTGGTCCAAATTAATTGACGGGATTGAATGTTGAACTTTTTAATGTTCTTATTGCTCGACGTTGGACCTGCTCCTAGCGCCTGGTCTGTCGAGTCAGCCTCAAGGTTGGACCAAAAAGGGTTAAAGAAGACAGACAATAGGATACAGCTGGGGCTAGGTCGGATCACTGTGCCTGGATGAGGAAACAGTGACCCAGTCTGCAAGCCAAAGCTTTATTTTACAGTCAGAGCACACAAAGCAAAACAAGAGAAGTGGTCAATATGTTTACAATGTTCTTGTGCGTTTCACCTTGTTTTGGCAGCACTTGCTGCACCTCCTACAGCCCATTAACTACCTAGGAAGGAGCAAGGGAGGACTATAAGGTCAAGCTTAATTATGCTAGGAGGGCTCTGCCCTCCAAGCTGGGAGTTGTTTGTGGCCCTGTCACAGGTCAGTCCGAGGCTTAACCCTACAGCTGCTCCCTACATCCCATGATCTAAAACAAATTATGCAGCATAGTAATACTGTACTTTAATGGTTCCAGGGAGCTCTGCAATGTGATGATCTGGTACCAGGAAAAATATAGCTGATTGGTCAACAGCTTCCCAACACTTTTTGTCTATTGTATAAAGAAAAAAGATTGATATGTACCTCTATTCGCTTAGCTATTATAGTATCTAGAGAAAAATTAAAATGCAATAAATTAGAAGTATGCTCTGGTATACTAAATAAATTAAACATTTGCTGAGCATTATCTTTACTGTGGTGCACTATTTGGGGCCTTTGGGGATAGAATGCTGAACAAGATAAAGGGCCTACTTTTCAGAACTTGACAGTAAATAAATAAACCAGAAATTACGTGCAGTGAGTTGAAGGCTACAGGGGGACACCTAACTCAGCAGGAGTAATTGGCTGAGGCTTTGGTCAGGCTTTGGGAAGAGGTGAAATGGGGTGGGTCAGAAGAGAGGAAGGTAAAGAGGAAAAATACTTTGGGGTGGGAAATAGCATTAAAAATGACTGAGGGCCCTGGCTGGTGTGGCTCAGTTGATTGGGCATCAGCCCAGTGCCCTGATCCATGTTTCTACCTGTCACTTTGCATCTGCCACTTCCAATTTGGAGGAGACTTTGTAATCACCCCATCCTACCCCTCACATTCTTAACTACCCATGAAGGGCCATCTTAAAAGTGGGGCTTCTGCAATGCCTACCATCGTCACTCCAGATAAATCCTATAGAATGGGTACATAGAATAAAAGGGAACCTAGAAGAAGGGTAACCAAACCAGAGATAGGTGTTGAGTTATGAAAACGTGCTACCATGTACAGAAGAGCCGCTTTTTACTCTCTTTTTTAAAATATATTTTTTATTGATTTCAGAGAGGAAGGGAGAGGGAGAGAGAGTTAGAAATATCAATGATGAAAGAGAATCATGGACTGGCTGCCTCCTGCACGCCCCACACTGAAGATGGAGCCCGCAACCCAGGCATGTGCCCTGACTGGGAATTGAACCGTGACCTCTTGGTTCATAGGTCGATGCTCAACCACTGAGCTGAGCCACGCTGGCCGGGCTCTACTCTCTTTAATGCCAATTTTTTTTCTGCTTGTAGTTATGTCCAAATAACATTTCTGAGTATGTTAAGGTTAGCATGGAATAAAAACACTTTGAGACACAGACCCAGTTATCCAAAAAATCAGACTGATACCAAAAGCTATAAGTATATGGGCAAAAAGTTAATTAATGTTTAAAAATAGGACTTCTGGGCAGTTTATAACTCATTAAACAAACAAAAATATAGAGTGCCCACTATATGCCAAGGACTTCGCTAGGTTCTAAAGATGAAAAGGGGAAGATTGGCCTTACCCTCAAGGATTGATAAGGATGATAATTTCTCACATTTGTATTTCTCACGGCTGTTGAGAGGTCAGCAGTGCGTGCACCTAAAGATTAGATTACTTGTGATTTGCCGATGGTCAGCAAACAAGCACCAAAAGTACAACCCAACCCTCTTGCCCCCCAATTCAGTGTGTTTCATTCTAGCACATTGTCCCCATTCCTGCCTTCCAATATGTTCTGTGTGACTTTAGTTATCACAACTCCAAAACACAAGCAAGGCATGTGTAATTACCTCCAGCTGCACCTGCAGGCCTTATGGGAGTGGGGTAGAGTAGAAATACTCCTCATTTCACCAGTGGCAGAGGTGACTTTGCTGAAGGTCAAAGGCGTAATACCTGGCAAAGACAGAACTAACAACAGTAACCATTTATTAAACATCTAAAGGCCAAAGGCATTTTTCTTTCTAATTTTTTTTTTAATTTTCCCTCAAGGATATATTTTTCTTGACTTTTAGAGAGAGGAAAGGAGAGAGAAAGAGAAGTGAAAGAGAAACATCAATTGGTTACCTCCTATACACACCACCACCTGGGATCGAACTTGCAACCTTGGTATGTGCCCAGACCGGGAATTGAATCTGCAACCTTTTGGTGCACAGGACAATGCTCCAACCAACTGAGCGACTCAGCCAGAGCTCTTCCTACTTTTCATAACCACATTGCAAAGTAGGTATTACTAAATACCTCCATTTTACAGATGTTAATCATGCTAATACTTGCCATTTCTTCAATACCTAAGATGAGCCAGCTTTTTTATGCTTTACATATGTTTTAATGATCTTTATAACAATCTTACAGGATATATATCTGTTCCATTTTGCACTAAGCAAACAGACTTTGATAAGCTATAAAGGTCCACAGATAGTGTATAACAAAACAAGGAAGTCTGACTGAGTAAAAAGCCTGCATTTTCCACTATTTTACATTTCCTTCATCTTGGGACTCCTTCCAGACTCTGGTCTTCTGTCTCCGGACTTGTGTTCTTTCTTCAAAGACTGCTGTCTCTCTGGAGATACAAACAAAGATTGTGTAGCCAAAGTAATTATGACACACACTGGCCTGTAGGAGGTAAAAAGGAGGCTAAAATAAAGTTGGAGAATTATCTGTGAATATTGATCCCAGCTCTGCCTACTTTCTCTCCAGTGTTTTCGAAGTGCTGACTACATGTAGAATGTGTATTTTTGCTCAAACTCAGCATGTTTTGCCCTTTTAGGCCACGTTGCCTCAGCCTTTAGTATGCTCTTGCCACTTAGCCTCAAATTAAGTTTTTCATGCCATGGAACAATCAGATAACATTTGTGGACCTGCAAAGATGATTCTCAGCATGTTTTCAGATGGTACAAAGAGCTGGCAGAATATATACCCTTTTCTCAGAGTGAAAGACCTCCCATGTCACAGATGCCATCAGCTTCTCAGAAGTACTCAAAATCTGGCCTCTAGGCCCATGTGTAGAGCAGATATTGGCCATGGTGAGGACAAGAGATGAATTCTATTGTGTATGGCCATTCAATTGAAGGAGAAGGTAGGCCTGAATCCCCCATTTCCTTCCCCTTCAGCCACAAATAAAACTAAATCTTCCTGGGCCAAACACTGGGTGAGGAGAGCAGGGTTCTTGATGGTGTCCCACCCTGTTGGTCTTCAGAGGTTCTTAGGGAGCAACCAATCTTCCTTTGGGAAAATGGGAGTGGTAGCAGATGGATTGCTCCAAATCATACTTACTATATTATGACTAGAAAGCAAAAACAGTAAAGGAAATTCCCTTGAAAACTATGAGTCATGTCTTGGACATTAGGAAGGTCTCAGTGCAGCCACAGACTACAGAACTTGACACCAGAATGAGGACTTTTGACCTACTGGAACTTGGAGAATGAGTATTTGGAAACAGGCTGAGGTTGATTATAGCCCTAACATCTAGCAGGCACATAGTGCTCCAGAGGTGGCAGCTCATTTACAGCCCTGCAAATCAGGCTTCGATTCACAGGCTCAATCACAGTTTCCACTAGAGATAATTATGCTTCATGTGTTGGTCAGGGTGGCAATTGGTGCTTGTGCAAATTATTCCTCAAATTGTGCAGCCCAGCAGAGACGGCAACAATTACCTCCCAGCAGAAACATAATGTACTGAGTAAGAGGTTACATATTCTGAAAAGTGTCCTAATCAAGGTCTTTTAAAAGTCATGACTGTGAACTGAAGAAGGAATACAAACTGAGAACTGAAGTTCTAGGAAAGTTTAGTGGGTGATTGGAATGGTGGTCAGCTACAATCCACAGCCCGCACCCCATCCTACCAGCTGATTGCAGACTCTGCTGCCCAGTTACCGAGCCAGTGATGACCGATCACAATAGCAGCCAACATTTATTAAGTCTTGTGTGTCAGGCATGGTGCTAAGTAAGAAAACCACATTGTCTTATGCATCTGCACAATATTCCCATGAGGCACGTTCTACATTTGCCAGCATTACAATACTTACTTTAGGGAAACTACAGGGAAAGAAAATTCTGTTCTGTTGATATATAAGTTAAATGACTTGTCCAAGTTCATGACATAGCTAGTGAGCAGCAGATCCAGAACTTCAACCTAAGTCTTCTGCGTTCTTGCTGGTGTCCCACCCTGTTGGTCTTCAGAGGTTCTTAGGGAGCAACCAATCTTCCTTTGGGAAAATGGATGAGAGAGAAGGAAAAGAGAAGTTGTTGTACTCGTTTATACCATAACCTAGAGCCCCCAGGCTAGACACTAGAGGCCATGAGAAGGGGAGAGGCAAGTTGGCTTC